ATAAATTAATATTAAATTCGATCAAGCCTGAAGTTTTTATAAAATATTTAGCGGATATGAAAAGATTTGTTGATACTGAGATCCAAACAATTTAATCTTTGTAAATCATTCTTTAATTTTTGTGTCTAGACGATTCACCAATGGTACATATCTTCAAAGAGACTACACATCTTGAAGTTTTTACTATTGAATATTATAATACAGAATCACAAGTGGACTTAAATACAAATAGATATACACGTCTTTTTGCTGTCTGTCAACATTTAACTCATTTGAATATTAACGCAAGATATTTTCGTTTGAATCCATGGATACAAGAATATATGCTTTATTATTGACCATGTGTTCATCATCGATTATAGTCGAATTAAATGTTAATGTATGTATGATAGATGATTGTTTGCGTCTACTTGACGATTGTTTCAACTAAATGAAAACTTTTATTGTTATTGCTGATTCTATTAAAGCTCCATCATTGAACATTGATAATCAGGTAGAGATCTTTTTCCTTTTCAACTGTGTTATTTTATGTGTTTCTTCGTTTTTTTTTCTAGGATAATCTGTCTAATTTAACAACAGTTTTTCTTGGCTTCATATTCGCCAACAGAAAAGTATAATAATTTGATAGTGTCACTACTTCAACAAATGCCGAATATAAAATAACTCGGTTTATATCTCAACGTTGAAAATCGATCAGAATTTATTGATGGTGCTCATTTCTATAATGATATACCTATCTATATGTCATGAATGACTACATTTACTTTCGATATTACAACAATAGACAATTATGCCAACCTCAATTATTGGTTAAAAACTGATGACATTCAAGAAAGATACATTATCGATGATGCGCATCCTTATATTTACTGTTGTATTGATTGTTTTACAAATGGTATTGGCCAATGTCGTATTTCTTCATTTCCATTCATTTCGTTATTTCGATTGTATCACTAATCATTTTCAAGATTACTTATTTTTTCTTCATAAATTAAAATAATATGATTGATCGATTTATTTTCTTCTTATTGGAGAACGTTGTAAATGTGGGTTTGGATTTCCACTGCTTCCAAACCTTCATCCACATAGCCATATTTTTTCTCGTTACGTTTAAAAAGTTTTGAAATTGATATTTATTATTTATTTTTGATGAATGAACTTGCTAAAGAAGTTATAACTATAGGTTAATTATTTCGCGATATATACACATAGATTTTCGTGAATTATGAGAGATCGAAATGAGCATGCGCAATGTATGTTTAAAAATAGAACTGGCAAGTGCTCATCAAATAGTTGTAAATCGAATACTGAGAACTCTTGTTATGAAACTGACGGTAACTTAATCTAAAAAAAACATGAGAAGGCTCATGCCTATATCTACTCATTTATACGAATCTTAATTGAGCATACGTTGACTTTTAATTTTAAATTTAATAAAAAAAAGAAAAAGAAAATCTTTTGTTTTTTAAATCTATGTAAATGCTGGAATATCATGGCAGTAAAACACGCTTAATTATGTTTTTATTTTTAAGAATATATGCCCTATCATCTCATAAGACACATGTTTCAGCTCCTCCAGTAATCTTTTATATTTGATTTATGATAGATTTTGCCATTTGTATTCGTTTAAAGAACAGCTGCCATTAGAAAAAGCATGTGATGAACAAATTGCTAAAAAGAAAACGAAAAAATGTATTTAAATTTTTCTTATATATATATATTGTTTTTTCGTCTTCGTACATAAAAAAGGACATATTGTGGGAATTTATATTTTCACAGTAATACACCTGATTATTATTATTACATAGATAGTGATCTAACCGAAAAATATGTTAGATGAATCCTTATAGAAATAGTGCGCACTTATATTGATAATAATTTCAAAATTTTCATGGGAGAACAGGTGATACAGCGTATCTCTTTAGTTAGGCCCACTAGTAGAAATGCTAGCGTATGCGAATTGACACAGATGTCTTTAGCATTATCATGATGATAAAAATCGATACAAACGCTCGACCATTTGCACATTTTTAGTGTTTTATTCAATATGCGTTGTTATCTTTTTGCTGCTTTTCTCTTGATATTCATCACTAATTATGTTCATTCCAATCAGCTTAGTCGTGGTAAACGTTGCCTGACTTGTTGTGGCAGACGTCCATGTTGCAACTGTTGTGGTTTACCTCATTGTGATTTTAAGATCAATCTAACCAACATTGATCTGAATATCGAACCGATCGTAAACAGATCAACTGTTCCCAATTTAATCAACAATTCTACCCGGCCTCCAATGTGCCTCATGTGCTGTGGGAAACCACCTTGTTGTAATACATGTGGACTCAATATTAGTCTTTCCTAAATAAAATACTAATAAAATAATTTTCTTGTTGATTCTTTGTTACTACCAATGAAAATCGTCGACACATTCCGAAGTCTTCTACTTTGTTCTATCGTTTATCAGTTGTAGAAAGATCTCTCCTTCACAAATAAGACTAAATTAAGATTCTGGTAATTTAATTCCATAACATTCGAAACAAATTTATTCCATAATCTGTGATTTGATTCTATTAGTGAATCATTGACTTAAAGAAAAGCATTGCGCGACTAATAGATTTTCACACATTAGTCCACGATGTAGTAGAAACACTCTGATACAATAAATATTTTTTCGAAGCAGATAAGTTCTGTTTCGAAAAAAAACTTCAAGAATAACAGAAGACACATTCTATTGTCATGACGTTTGAACTAAACATCACATCTCTTCATCTTTATAAAAGAGGGATCAGAGTCTCAAATCATTCGATAGCTTTTCGAGTTCTACTATTATTATTAACCCTTTGGTGCCGGGCGTGGTATATATACCACTTCAAGTATAATGAATTTTCTTCTCTTGTTATCATATATTCTTTATTGGAATTCTTCCCATACATTCCAATACGTCTAACTCGGATCAGGTAGACGTATTGGAATGTATGAGAAGAATTTCAATAAAGAATATATGATAACAAAAGGAGAAAATCCATTATACTTGAGGTGGTATATACCACGCCCGGCACCAAAGGGTTAATAAAATAAAATTCACTAAACATATTCACATGTGTAGTATATTGTGCATGTCTAATAATGATGACTCATTATTCATACCATTTCTTTAATACCTACTGCAGATACGATTAAAAGAGTTGTACGTTCCTTGCAAGAAAATGAAAGACAGCGAAAGTCCATATCACATATATAAAACTGTTGATTGTTTTCGGTATTATTCAGCAAACTCGATACCATAAACTAAAGGACAAAATTTTCTAATAAAACAATCTTCAAAGAAGATCTTCAATTTGATCCATGATCTTATTCCAAAGAGAGAGATTCGAATATAATTCATTTATTGACAAATAATTAATCTACTTAGGGCATACCAAAAGTAGTGAGAGTGACACTTTAATACCGTATAGTAGGGTGTGGGTGTGAGAGTGGATGTGGGAGTGGGTTGTATGTATGAGGATGAGTGAAGAACTACGCCCACACCCACATCGACCCACACCCTAATTAACTAAAGCTGCTGTAAATAACCTTATATTTCTATTGTGAAAAAGAGCGATACTATTTTTTTAGAGAAATAAGTGCACAAAAAATCACTACTTTATTCATCATTAATGCATCAATTAGATGTTGCACGCCGCTCAATCGAATTTGAGTATGGGTGTGCGTTAAGATCGTCTCTTTATCGACACCAAACTCACACCCATGCCCGCATCCACATCCACACCCACACACTCACCCACACACCCATATCCACATCCACACCCTCAAGCTCACACCTTCACCGACATCTGACACCCACAAATCACAACAAAGAGCTTATTTTTAACCGAAAGTGTATGCATAAGAACAGAACTATTTTTTCTTTCGACTATTTCTAGAATTAGTTATCAATTAAGCAATCGTTAAATTTCCAATGTTTCATTTCCTCCTAATAAATTACCTTGAAATAAACTATTCAAAAAGTAAGCATTAAAAACTTAGCGTTTATTATTATAGATTATTGACTGAAATCAAATTCTGTCTTTATTAGAAAAAATATCTTTATTATAAAGAAATATATATTTCCATGATATAACGACAGTTCTGTGAAGGGCGTGGGTGTGGGTTTAATTGAACGACTCACTTACACCCACATCTCACACCGACAATCATACCAACACTCATCTGAGATTCCCAAAGACTTTCATTGAAAAATGATTCTTCAATTTATTTTTCTTAGGAGAAGATATTTCAGAGTCTTGATTTTAAATTACAAAAAATCCAAGCTTCCTCCGTTTTCGAGTTGTTCAAAACAAAATCGAGAGTCTATTATGATAGTTTTGTAAACGAAAATGCACGTGCATTTTACTGGGCTTTTGCTTCATTCGTTTGTTTTTCTTTGGAATAATCTACGTAAGGTAATCCTAAATGAAAGATGATGTGTATGTGATGTTCCGGTTTGAATGGCTGCTTAGAAGATTGAGGATTTTTTAATTGATGTTGCTGATATTTGATTGATAGAAGACGCATAGCTTCACCACACACAATTCCCAGATGACAGTGAACAGCACCAAGTACATGCCACCAAGCATGCAATTGTGGATTAAATCTATTGATACTATTCATTCGTTCACACAACTGTTGATCCATAGTCCAACAAACAAAAGCTGAAATTATTAAGCCAACATATACTATCAGCAGACACTTTATCCGATATATATGATGATGTGGCTGTTGATATAAATAAATCAGTTTAACCATACCTCCGAGCACCATCAAGCTAATATGTACTTGAAATATCAGTACAAATTTTTGTAAACTGTGCACGTAAGTCCATAATAACCCATAAAAAATCCCAAATACAACTAATATGTCAATGGCAAATGTTTTACTCTTTAACTGTTTGAACTCATTCATTCTAAATAATATAAACCACCAGATAATCATTGAATAGACCATTGGGAGTTCATCTGCCATTTGACCTAAATGTGTGAGAGTACCATGAAAATAGGCAGATCCGAGTCCGACAAATACAAAGCCCAAACTAGACAATAAATATCGAGTTTCAATCTTGTTGTATATACCTCGAATGAATAATATTCCACCTAATATACACATAGAAAAGCTTGAAAGACAATTCCAAAATTCAGTAATATACTGGGTTACAACATAATTACGTTCACACCAATCGATTGAACTGGTGCTGGGTGACCAATGACCAATATTTGTATCTAATTCTGGTTCAAAATGTTTAACATCAGATGGATGGCTATGACTAGCTAAAACTGATCGCGCATCAATGGGAACGTGCCAGAATATTGTACCAGATAATATGTGTAAAATAAAAATCGACGAACGCATTTTTTGACCACGGTTTGTTGTGTAACAGGTCAAATTGTAGAATTATTTATCAAGATAAGTGTTCGACGAATAGTTGAATGTTTGTTTGATTGTCCTCTTGCTTCTATTGTCTTTGCGATTCACGGATTAGCAGCTATATGGCTGAAAAGAAAATAATTATCACACTTGATTATAATACAGATTTGCTGATATAGTTACGGCAATTTGGCTAGCACATAGATAATGTGCTGACTGTACAAGAACAAACTTAAAACTATCGAGTGTGAGTGCATGCGGATCTGCTTTTCATGGTGAGACCTATATCCGCATCACGCAACTTATTTTATGTTTTTCTCACAATAGAGTTTTTCATTTTGACTTTTCTGTTCGTACTAGATTGCTCCGCTATTTTAAACGCTAGAAAATTGGAGTTGGTCTCAAAATGAACAAAAGAGAAAGCTCTATAACTTAATAGATCCGAAGTTATTTATGTTCCCTTGAATTTTCAGCAACGATCGATTTTTCTCAAAGTACACTATCTATTTTTTCGCCATATTTCATCAGAAAAGCGTCTCAAAAAATGAAGTTGGAAAAACATAGAAAATCGAGATCTGTTCAGTTGTAGCGCCAAGTCTTGACTACATTTCAAAAACCAATCCAAGATTTATAGCTTTAAAAATGAGGAAGAAATTTGAGACGCACGGACACCTATATTTTGATCCTTATCCACAAGCTAATTCTTAGTACACTGAATATTTCGAGTTGAAATTTTTACTAGAAGATGTCCACTGTTAGGCACATCTTCTTTGTAAATTTTATCAGGATCGGATGATCAAACAAAAAACAAGCTTTTGAGTAAGAAGGCCTTAATATGGATAGAGAAAATAGGGTGCACTCGCTTACTTATGTATGCCCAACCGACCATTCGATAGGCATTTCGACCCCTCGATTTTCCACCGTCGATGTCTTCTAAGATACCCATCGCCGAGCCCTCGACCCATCGGAAAATGGCAAACCCAGGGGTCGATTTGAAATTCCGATGGGCAGACCTCGTGTCCCAGATAGCACCACGATACATATTACGAAAACTTCGATCCTATGCTTCTGCTAACTATCAAGTTACTCACCATCTAGCCTTGGACCCATCGAAATTTCAAATCGACCCCTGGGTTTGCCATTTTTCGATGGGTCGAGGGCTCGGCGCACCCCTCGCACGTCTTTTTTAGCTCACTTGGGATGTAAAGTAACATGTGTGTGCATTGCTATTTACTCACATCTCGTCATACTCTTCACACTATCTCCGTTGTAAGTTGTCAAGACAGAACGCAAAGAGTCTGTTTTCATTCTCTCTCGTCGCTTGCGACGAGAGAACAGAATAATAGATTTCACAAGGTCTCACACAATATGCATGTCTTTGAGGATTGAAAAGGGTAGATGTAGGTGTGAGTGAAAAGAGCAGCTGCAATATGCCCACACGCCTATTCATACCCATTGAAAAAAATTAGGAAAGTTCGAATTGATATTTCTATTTTGAAGATAATCTTCAGATGTTTTTAATAGAATTGCAATTTATCTTGTTCTCACCAGCCGATCCCCCCATTAAAGTCTAAATGAAATTTTATACAATGACGACTTGAATATGTCGTCTATCAAAGTATATAGTATATTTTATTTCACCGTCAGTTTAGAACAAAGAAATGGACGGTAACGATTGCTGATAGAAGGAATGTTAGTGTGGATGGAGATACATCTTATTCAACTCCTTCATATCATATAATCGTATCATTTACATAAACAGAATACGCTTATATTCGCAAGTAGAAGAGAGGATGAAAGGAAACGAGATGAGGCAAAGCAGAGAATATATATGAGAGAACAATAGAATAAGGATGATGTGGGTGTGAATGTTGATCTATCATATGGTTACACCCACACCCACCCCACACCCAAACTACTGAAAAATCTCCAGTAGATCTGTTGCTGGAGCTATAACTTTTTGCCGTGTTTTTGCCCAAGCACCATCGTTTATTTGTGAAATTAAAATTTTTTTTTAACAAAGTGATCAGCACAGATAGCTCCACATAGCCTGATAGACAAAACAAATTTTGTGAGAATATTTAGTTTTTATTGGTGACCATTCGTGATGATACCCAATTATACTCCTGAAATTTTGAAACTTTTCATGATTCTGCAGCCCGTTATCATCCTATGAATTATTGGTTATACTCCTAGATCACGTTTTCGACGGGCTCTTGTTTCATATAAAATTCACTTTCATTTCTCCTTGCGTTTGAGCTGTAATCACTAGAAAAACATTTTTGAAAACATCGCAGAATCAAGTCGTCATGAAAGGGTTAACTAGATTCATCGTTCAAGTTGATTTTATCGACGATGGGATATTAACATCTCACCAAAGGGTGAGTTTATAGGGTATGGATGTGGGTGGGTGGGTGTGAAGAGAAGACTGACATCCAACCACATCCATACTCACATCTTAATCTCATGAACATCGAGTTCATCGAATACGAACTACCGTTTTGAACTCACGTATTAGGCAAAAGGTTTTCTAAAAAGTGATGTAATTCACCGTCAATATGCAAAGAAGCCCTATTTTGTTGTCACATTGTCTGAATCCTGTTGTCATTCGCTATGGTTTTCAACAGACTTCAACAAAGCCTAATTGTTTAAGCGAAATTGATTGTCAGTGAAAATTTGAATGGGAGACATGTCACATTGTTTCCAAGTCTTTCATGAATTATATAGTTTTCTTTATCCAGGCTGATATCTATTAAATCAATCCTTGTACAAAAATGAGCTTTGCATGTATTTCATGTGACTTTTTTTTAACATTAGAAGAAAATTAAGATTTCTGTTTTTGCTATTGTAGTGTTTCTTATCAAAGTTTGATAAAAGAATATGTCATACAATGCAATGACAATGCATCTTACAAAGGTGCATATCTAATGAAAATAGTTAGCAGCTTATAAAAAGTTGATATTTGCTTTTCTTTTCTCACTCTTACCATGCCATATTTTATCATGAAATTCCTTCTTGTAGCCTCATGGCTACTAGTCATCATGTATATGATTAAGGTTGTACCCATGCCTTCAAAGATATCATCAAACGATGTTTCTGATTATCTTCCATCGGGCCTTGAGATTGTAGACTACCGTTTTCTGTACCCTGCCATCCAATTCCACATCCACACCAACAGCCTTATAATATATCACTGGAAGAATGAGTAAGCCGAAACCGTAGGGTGTGGGTGGGTGTGGGGTGTGTGCGTGTGGGCGTGAGTATGGGTATGGTTATGAGTGTGGAGTGCGGATATAGATGTGAGTGTGGATGTGATTGAGAGGTGCGATTGTAGAGGAAAACAATGCGCAAAGCCACACCCACCCTCCCATAATGACACATTTCAAAAATTCTAAATGGATTTCGCATTTGTGCTTATTTTATTCGGAACAATAACCACTTCTTCTGTTTTAATGTTTTCAGTGTATATAATACAATCTTGTTTGTTGTTAAATAATTCTAAATGATACATTGGTTTTCGAAGCTTTTCTTGAATTATCTTTGCCCTGTCGTCGTTCTCATTGATACTGTTAGAACATCATACGAGACAAAAGATTTCGATTTAGATATGCATTTTGAACATCTATAAGTATTGTGTCTTAAAATTGTTTTATTGAGAAATATATTAAAATATCAAGTAATTATTGGATTTGAAAAGGTCAAAACATTTTTATTCTTTGATCTTTAGAAAATCGACATACTTATTTGCAGAGGATTAAAAATGATATAAGTTTGTAATATCGATCAATATTAACTAGATGAAAGTAACTGTAATCTTAATCATGATTTTTATCTTTACTCGAAGGATCTTGTCAGGTAACTTATATTCAAATTTCAATCTATTAGGGGATGATTGCGGTATGATTATTTCTCTTTTTTTTTCTATTATCTTAACACTATTCGAAATTTTACTGTTTCTTAGTATTTTATTACTTTGATATTTTATTAATGTTTTTTAGAATAATAAGTAATATCGAGCAATAATTTATAAGTGTAATAAAATAATAATCAATGGGTGTATCCATGGGATCTTGTCAGTTTCATCCGGTGAGCACATCCACATTCAGTGAAACTTTCAGAGTTTGTAAAGCTTTTCTCATTGATCATTCTAGTTATAAAATTTTTACATTTGGAATAGAGAGCTTCATCGGATTTACTGGATCCGACCAAAGAATCATGAGCCACTCTATCATATCGAATATTGAATCATTATTTGGATATGTATTTTGTAGAGAAATGTTTGCTCTTTCAATCTATGTAATTAGAAGTATACAACAGTCTTGCATAACCAATATTTTTTTAAATAAATATGTCTGAGTCCAAACTTGAACTGCGTCCAGACACGGGTGTGGATCCGGACCTATTTATTTAAAAAGATATTGGTTATGAAAGGCTGTTGTATACTTCTAATTACATAGATTGAAAGAACAAACATTTCTCTACAAAATGCATATTTAAATAATGATTCAATATTCGATATGATAGAGTGGTTCATGATTCTTTGGTCGGGTCCAGAAAACTCGGTGCAGCTCTCTAATTTGGAGACTCTTTTCAAAGAGCTACTGATCAAATACTATTGATGTACGTTGCATCCACTAATTAGTTTTCTTCCAGACTTTGATTTTGAAATGAACGACTGTCAAAGCTATTTCAAGTTACAATTTTTCATAAATTCTAGTAAGCATATTCATGAGATCTAATCAGACAATTCGTTAGCCATTTCAAAATTCACTGAGATTTTAAGAACATGGTGAATGCATCATTTTGGCACTAAATTATTCAATGTTCGACTCTAATATAAGTAGATTTTTGATTTAACTAAATAATATAGCGCTATTTTCTTCTTTTCGAGAAAAATACATTGCTTTTCTTTATGCATAATAAGCCAAAGAGCATAATCTACACTAATCGAATCTACTGCAATTTTTCAAGAGAACCTTGAATAA